TAGAAAAGACATTTATTCAATTAAACACATTTGATTTATTTTATAAACAAAATTTATTACTTTTTTTAAATTAGTCTCTTTGAAATCAATTTTGAAGTACATGATAAACAAAAAGTTCATCCATAAAAATAATCTTAATTAATTATTATCTAAAATAGTATAAATGAATCATAAAATAATTTAATATCCAAAAATTTGATGATTACTCTCAAATTCTTATATTTAATTAAAAGTAAGAATAATCTTTTCTCTTGATTAGGTAGTATTATATTTACTCTATAAGTTTTCCCCTCCTTAGACTGGATGTTCGGCATTGTATAAATTTGCTTATGAATGGTAAGACTACCTTAGGAATTAGGGAAATTGTCAGAAAAAAACGCTTATTAAAACTAGATCTTATAAAATCTGACCCTAATTAATTTATGAGGTAATTTAATTCTGATTAGAATAGAAGAAGAAAGACTTCATAAAGATAAATTTTAGCAGTAATGGATGAACCATTTGAACCTACTGCCTAATAATTTTTTGATCAATGCAAGCTAATTTTCAATGTATCTGGATTATTATTCAAATAAGTTAATTTTATTTTAAACTGGTTATATTGCAGTTGATTTCTCGATTTATATTTCTAACCTCAAAAATACATTTTATGTTAATAAATCAATTAATTTCTTCTACAACCTAAGATTTCGATAAAGAAATATTAATTAAATATATTAAAATTTAGTAAGTAATTTTATAATTTTTCCAAGAATTATTAAACATTTAATTTACATTAATTAAAAGGGTATATATTACTTATAAATTATCTTAAAAAAAGTAAAGAACTTTACTTATGCAAGGAAATTACTGAGAAAATTGCATTTATAATAAAATAAAAAAAAATAATCAAATTTTTATAATAATATCAATATTTTTTGTTTCCAAATTTCTAACTAAATTTCTCTAATCATTTATTGTAAAGCGTTTTTAACATTATGACATATCAATATAAACCACCTTTGTATTATTATTTAGATTAGTTAAAATTTCCTTAAGTTTCTGAGTGTTAAATTCACACTTTATCAAAAGATATTGAGATTTTTAAAAGGGAATTCTTAAAAATCTAATAAAATATTTTCAAAAGTAATATCCAGAATCTCTAATTGTTTACTTTTTAAATTACTAGAAAATTCAAAAGTCTATATGGCTGCATTATTTAGAATAGATACTTTGAAAACTTACATTTAAGTGAATTATTCAAATAGTTAATGACAATTTTTTAATATAAGATTACCAGAAACTTCAAAATAAAATTAATCAAAATTGTAACGATCTAAATTTAAAAAAACCTTATCAATATTCAAATTTTATTATTCAAATACTCTAGAATTATCTTTGTATTATTGTATAATTTAGAAAAATGAATAAGAAAAGGCTGTTAAAACATCTTTTCTTTCAACAACAATTTTCATTTATTGTACATTAGTAGCTTCTACTTAAATTTATAAGAATTGTAATTATTTTGGGCAATTTTTAATAAATGTATTAACATAAGGAATTATGGCAGGAACTATTTCGTCAAAATAGAAATTCAATTTTAATTAAAATATTTGACTGACTTTTAAACATCTAATTAAATCATTTAATTCAGATCCCATAGAAAAAAGACTTTAAGCTTAATCAATTTCTAAAATATTTTGAATTTTTGCAAGCACATACCTAAATTAAGCTAACATTTTTTGCTTTTTTAAATCTTTGTAATTAGAAAAATTTAAAGTTTTCAAATTAATTTTAAAAGTTAATTTTTCTCTTAAATATTCTTCTTATACTTTTGAAATAATCTAGAAAGATTTAGGATATTCCAATAATATTTAATTTGATATTGAGCTCAAATACAACATAGATTAAAAGAATGAATCAATTGAAACTGATCCTAAAATTAAAGCTGGAATCAAATAGTCTTTAATAACAACTTCTAGTATATTTTTTATCGCCTCTATACTTTCTTTAGCTATTGAATGAAAGACATAACCCATATTATATTCAATTAGTTCATAAATAGTGATAATATATATACAAAGAACTAAGGAATTTTATTTAAAGCTTCTTCAACATTTGTTCTCCACATTACAGCCTCATAAAATGGCTAACTCTTAATTTAAAAAATGTTCTTGGAATCAATTTAAACAGTTTCATAATTAAATACTTAAGTAGCTAAACTGCCTTAAAATTTTGAAGCATAACTTTTGAACTTTATATATCCAACAGAACTAAAATCTCTTTTTACAACATCAGTGAATTCCTATACACATAAATATAAACAAATCATTACAATATCCCAAATCTTAAAAAAGTTAAATATTGCAAATAATAGAATAAAAGATATTTATTTTAAAGTTGAAAAATCTTTAAATACACGTTGTTAAAATACTGCAAATGATAGCATTTACAATACTGGATTAACAATTGTTAAAACTATTAATGCATATATAAATATATCATCTCCATTATTTAAATAGACAAGAGAAATAATTTATAAGAATCCATTAAAAAATGACCAAATAGATTGAATAGTTGCTTAAAATGAATTTAATTTGTTCCAGGCTTCGTAATAATCGTATAAATTCATCAATAATTAAATACTTCCAAAAGATTCTTCAAATAAAGTTCTTTTAGTTATTTTAGCAATTTGAGTTTATGCTTCATCAATAATATCTTAAGATGTTTCTAGGTTACCTTGTGGAGTATAATCAATTATCTACGATTAATTGATAGCCCCATTACTAATTCCTCTATTAAAGGTTGATCCTCTTTAGTGAATTGACATTAAAGCTTAAAATTCTGGAGAAATTTATATTTAATTATTTTTCACAAGCTAGTTTAATTGTAATGCTTAGTAACCAGTAGTAATTTTTGGATTTTCAATAAATTATATCTTTTTAACTTTCTCCTCTTCTGCATTCGGATCAATTAAATCATTATTCCATAATTAATCAAGATTTACTTCATTTTAAATTGAAAGGGTTAAATTTGGAATATTTTTAAAAGTATTCTCCAAAAATGCTTCACAATTTTCATCATGATATAAAAGACTTATTTTTTCTACTTTAATCAATTGAAAGCAATTAGCTAAATATTACAATGTAACATCATCATATTAATCAATAAAATGAAATTCTATATTTTTATATTTTTTCTACTTCATTAAGAAATTTATTATTTAAATCATACATCTTTTCTTTTAATAAGAACTGAATTTACTTGAATCAATATGAAAATAAAAAGATTAAACAAATCCAATATATTTTAAATCAGCTTTTAATAGTTA